TGCAAGGAGTTCGTGTAATCGAATTAGCTGGTCTTGCTCCAGTCCCACACTGTGGAATGGTTCTTGCTGACTTTGGGGCGAATGTGACTCTTATCGAAAAGGTATATTGAACTTTTTTCAATTTCAATTAAGTATGTCCGTCTTTAGCCTGAACAAGATGGAATGGGAATGGAGCAACGTCTAGCAAATCGAAAAAATATCCAAGGTTTGGATTTGAAGAAGCCAGAAGATCGAGCAAAGCTGAAGCAGCTATGCAAAGAAAGCGATGTGCTTCTTGATCCATATCGACCAGGAGTTTTGGAAAAAATGGGATTAGATCCCCTTGATCTCTTAGAAGTATGTTATTTGGAATTCAATCTCTTTGGAAAGACGTGTAAGATTCAGTTCTACTGCACGTAAATCTGCAATCTGCTCCTACATTACAATTACTACATTCGCTGCTAAATTGCCTCTAAAGCTTTCCAAATACCTATCTCCTACTACTTTACATTTGCTTGTTAGAATGCCTCTAAAGAAAATCTTATTACAATTTTTTTATCTATTATTTCAAATAATACTTTTCTAAAAATCTAGTGGTCCTTTAAGATTATTAAAATAGGCCACTTCTGCTTTAATGTACTTAAAAAGTGGAATATCATTCAAAATAAAAGAAGTGATAAGCCAATTTAGCTTATCAAGAATATAATTGAGAAAAAATGGAAAGATTCTGAGAAACGTATTTCTCAAAAATTATCTCAGACATTTGGTCCTTAAATTTTGTAGGAAAAAAACTATCTCATTAGTTTATAAGCAAAGGGTAACAAGTATGACTTACAAAAGACGATCACTGTTCAAAACTCTTTCCGCCTCTCCTCCCTTCTCCTTGCTTTTGTTGCATAGTCGTTCGATCCTTGTTAAGACTTTTGATACCATTAATACGTTCGTCTGCAGAGTGATTTGTAGTAATTAAAGAGAATAAAAATTTGAAGCCAAAACTATTCAATCCAGGAGAATAAAGGATTGGTGGTGTGCAGACTTACAGGATATGGGCAAACTGGACCGTTAGCACATGAAGCTGGGCATGATATTAACTATGTTGCGATTACAGGTGAACTCTGATTCATGCAAAAATATCTATTGAAACCTCAAACAAGAATTCAAGGTTTGATGCCAACGATATCTGGCCACAGTTGTCACCGTCCTTGGCCTCCAGTCAATCTGTTAGCTGATTTTGCTGGTGGAGGACTTACAGCTGCTTTTGGAGTAGTTGCTGCGTTACTTAAAAGAGAGAAGAATGGTAGGAAGAGAAAGTTGTCAATTTTTTCAAAATTTCTAATGTTTACTGGAAATAATTGTTTTGCTTTAGGCGGTCATGGATGTGTCATTGATTGTTCTATGTCCGAAGGTCTTTCATACTTAGCCTCATTCGTTCATCGCTATCACGATATTTCACATCTTTGGACAGATCCAAATGCAGCATTTTCTGGAGATTGTCCCATTTACAGGTACATCTCCTAACTCAACAAAGTTCCTGCGTTTTAATGAAGTTTGTGGATGAAAATTAATCAAATCTTGCCTGAGTATTGGGATTGTTTAAAAAAATCTACACTCCAGTAATAATTGGACAAATTGTTTGAAAGCACCTATTTTAAACTATAGCTAGACAGACGCTTAGTCTTGTTGATGCTTTTGCTGAGTGTAAAAAAACCAATTAGAGTTATGATTGATGACGCAATAGAGTACTTTCTTTCAAGCCTGAACAGTAAAAATTCACTTCGTGCGTAAATCCGACTTCACTAAGAAATATTTAGCAATTTTCTTATATTAATAGAAACTTATTATCGTTGTTTCCAAACTATCCAGTTAGATTTTATCAAGCATTTCGTTTTGAGTTTGACTCAAGAATTTAACTTTCTTAATTCCACCTATAGATAAAGAAGAATCCATAGTTAAAACTGAGTATTTGTGTTTGATTAAATCATTCGAATATATCATATAATTCAAATAGTTTATCATTCGGAAAAAACGCATTTATTCGATTTTTCGAGTAGTCGGGTACTCAAAATGTGCATTTATTTGATTCCGAGAGGTCGCATTCGAAACGTCAACATTCGAACATTTGAGATCGAATAGTTTTAAACTGAAGAATAATTTTCTGAAATATAACTGAGCTAATATTTATATTTGGATGAAATTTTCAACAATTCAGTCATGCACATTCGAAAAGTCGAAAAGTCGAATATTC